GGACGATCCCCAGGGGGGGGTTTATGCTGCTGCCCCCGTGTCTCCTCTGCTGCAGCAGCAGCAGCAACTGCTGCTGCTGCTGCTGCTGCTGCTGCTAAAAGCAAGCAGCAGCAGCAGCGAAGCAGCGGGGAGCGGATCCGCAGCATCGTGACAGACAAGGGGGAGAAGCCCCGTTGCTGTTGCTGCTGCTGCTGCTGCTGCTGCTGTTGCTGCTGTTGCTGCAGCAGTTGCTGCAGCTGTTGCTGCTGTCTTTAGCGTTGTAGTAAGATAAAACAAAACAAAACAAAATAATAAAATAAAAAAAAATAAAGTAAAACACAAAGAAACAAAACAAAACAAATAAAACAAAATAAAGACAAAACCAAAACAAATAAAATAAAATAAAATAAAATAAAACGCCAGACAGGAGACAACGCAAAAGGAGACAGCTGCTGCCCCCGATGAGGCAGCAGATGGTTGTTGTGTTTGTTTTTTTTTTCTTTTTATTTATATAAAAATATAAACCCTAAACAAAACAAAATAATAAAAAAACAATAAAACAATACAAAGAAAAATATCTCCTCTTGGGGCTGCTGCTTTTCAGGGCAGCAGTAGTGCGCTGCTGTTCTCTGTGTCTCCTGCTGCTGCTGCTGCTGCTGCTGCTGCTGCTGCTGCTGGTGTCTCCTTAGGTAATCTGCTGCTTCTGCTGCAGCACAGCAGCAGCATTCATGCAGCAGTATGTCTCCTATTATAATTAATGTTATTTTATTTGTTTTATTTATTTATTATTAAACACAAATAGGGATCCTAGAGGGACAGAGACACGGGGCTGCTGCTGCCTGCTGCTGTCTCCTCAGCAGCAGCAGCAGCAGCAGCAGCAGCAGCAGCAGCAGCAACAGCAGCAAACAAGGAGATACTGCATTCGTGCGCAGCAACGGATTGAAATAAACAAAAACAAACACCATTCATTCTTTTTGTACACTCTATTGCTGCTGTCGTTGCTGCTGCTGCTGCTTTTGCTGCTGCAGCAGCAGCAGCAGCTGCTGCTGCTGCTCA